CTACAATTAAGCTCAAAAAAAATTATATATATATATATATATATATATATATATATATATATATATATATATATATATATATATATATACACACACACACACACACATACATACATATGCACATATATATGTATACATATATAGACATATACACACAAATATATATACATATGTATACCCTTACATACATACACTTACATATACATATACTTAGATATCTCTAATCATACAATCATACTCATATATAGACATACACATTCATATGCATCTATGTAAAACCATACTATACTTATTTGTCCTCTGTTTCTCTGAAGGTGGATAACCTCTTCCTCCTTAAGTCCAAGTCTTTCCATATTTTTCTTAGTCCACCAACTCATCATGTCCTATACCACAGCAATATTCCAACCTTATACTGTCTAATTATTTTAATAGTCCAAAACAAGGTTGATGAATGTGGCTGACACATAGTGTAGTTTCCCTATTTTTCTCTTTTGATTGGATCTATTTTAGCCTTAACTTTGTCCAAGATCATGGTTACCACCCCTGCTCCTTTTTCCCTAACAAATTCTACTCCTGATCTTTATTTTATGTTTGTGTATCTATTATTTCCTATCAGTCCTGACTCCTCTACTTTACTTCTACCCACTACCTTGCCCTCCTGTTACTTACCCTACCTCTCTCCAAGGATCCTTCCCTTATCCTCCCATTCCCATTGATCTAAACATTCTTCTATACACCCCTTAACCTATTCCCTCACCCTCCCCTCCAAAGATCCCTCCTTTATCCTCTTCCCCCTCCCTATCTCCTTAGCATTTTATTTCTTTCTGAATTTAAAAGACTTTTATACTCTTCTAGATGTTTATATATTGTTCCCTCTTGGACCCATTAGCCATGAAAGTAGGTCTCCAGAACTACCAGCCCTCCTCCCCCATCTAATTCCTCTGTGTTGGTTCTTCCTCTTGCACTTCCTTTGTATGAGATAATTACTCTTTTTAGCTGTTCTTAAACGGTTTTACTTTTTAAAAGCATATCATACTCGTCTTACAAACTACCCAATTACTAATAATAATCTTAGCCATACATGTTACTTTTCCTCATACAAAAGGTAAAACAGTCTGGCCTTATTGAGTCCCTTGTAATTAGTCTTTGGTATGTACTTTATATTTCTCTTGGCTCTTGTATGTCAAATCTTCTATTAAGTTCAGGTTTGTTTTTTTTTTTTAACAAAGTCTGACGGTTCATTAAATGTCCATTTTTTTTTAAAATTCAAGATTACACTTAGCATTGCTGGGTATGATATTTTCAGCCAGAACTCCAGGTCTTTTGCTCTTCGATATATAGTGTTCCAAGATCTATGTTCTTTTAGTGTTGCCACTGCTAGCTCTCGTGTGATTCTAATTGTGGCACTGCCATATTTAAATTGTTTTTCACTTGTTGCTCATAATATTTTATCCTTGAGTTAGAAAGTTTCAGAATTTGACTATGATATTCTTGTGGTTTTTCCTCAAAGGATCTCTTTCAGGTGGTGATGGGTGGATTTTTTCAATTTCTACTTTCCCCTCTTGTTCTAATACTTCAGCACAACTTTCTTTAATTATTTCTTGTATTATTATGTCAAGATTCTTTTTTTGATCATAGCTTTTGGGTAGTCCGCTTATTTTTATGTTTTCTCTTCTTGATTTGTTCTCCAGATCAGTTGTTTTTCTTATGAGATGTTTCACATTCTCTTCTATTTTTTCTTTCTTTATATTTTGTTTTATTATTTCTTGGTCTCTTATGACTTTGCTGGCTTCCCCTTGCCCAATTCTTATTTTCAAGGAGTCATTTTCTTCCTTAAGTTCTTCTATGAATTCTTTTCAGGCAGGTGATCATTTGACATTACTCTTTGGAGTAGAAAAAGATTTCTTTGTTTCAGTATCCTCCTCTGAAGATGAACCCTGCTCTTCTCCATTCCCATAATAATTCTCTATGGTTAGATTCTTTCTCCTTTGCCTACTTTTTTTTTTAATTTGTAGTAGCTCATTTTTTGTACTCACCTCTAGTGAATCACCTACTTCACAATGAAGTTTAGATTCAGTCAAAGGGCCACACTTGAGGACCTAGAGGGCCACATGTGGCCTCGAGACTGCAGGTTCCCCACCCCTGCTTTAGGTCCTTAAAGGTTATATGAATTCAGTGCAAGCTGTAACAGATCTACTGCATGAGAAAGATTGCAAATATGGCACCAGTAATTGTCTTGACTAAGGACCAGCCTGGGTAAGATTGGAGAATCTCAAACTAATCTTTTATCTTCCATAATGTCCATTCCCTAGACTTCTCTGATCCTGAGGAGGAATGTGGGAGCATGGGTGGCAGCCAAATAGCAAGAAAGAGGAAGTGTTAAGTAAAACAATTTTTTCCTAAGAGGATGAAGTCATGATAATAATAGCTTACCTTTACGTAGCACTTTATACATATTCCTCAGTGGAAACAACAACTATTATTCTTATTCTTATTCTTATTATTATTATTATTATTATTATAGCAAGTACTATGTGCTAGGCACGGTACTAAGGACTTTACAAACATCCCATCTCACTTGACTTTCACAATTATCTTGAGAGGTAGGTGCTATCATTACCCCCATTTTAAAGTTGAGGAAAACAGGTTAAGTGGCTTGTAGAGTCACACAGCTGTCTGAAGCTGGATTTGAACTGTGGTCTCCCCAACTCCAGGTTCAGTGCTGTACCCATTGCACCACCTAGCTGTTGTCCCTATTATACTGATGAACAAACAGGTTCATGGAAGTTAAATGAATTGTTAAGTGTCATAGAGCTTAGACTTGGACTCAAAACCTCTAACTTTCCTACACCACAAGGGGACAAAGTCTGATCTGGTGCAAAGTGGACAAATATTTGCAGTGACCACATCTCTTGCCGATCTTTGGGATAGAATAGGAGGAGGAGGGACATGTGGAGAACCCACAACAGGAGAGTCACAAGGCAGTGAGACCTACAAAAGAGAGGCCAAGTGTAGCTCTTGAGCAGGTGGGTTTCCTTCTGTCTCTTTTGTTCGATGAAAAATGATTCTCTAGCTTTCCATAGTCAAAGACAAAGATGAAGAGACCAGAAGCGGCAGGGGAGGAAGGAGAGCACAAATTCTTGAATAACTAATTTTATATTTATGTTTATATATAAATATATAAAAATTTATAAATATAAATATATGTTTATATATCTTTATGTTTAATAACAAAAATTCCAACCTTGCCTGTTGGTACCAAGTTATTGAGGTGGAGATTCTAACATGGGTAGAATTGTTCCCTGATTGGGATCTGAATACTTTCAGACTTCAGCCAGAAAGGAATAGCTTTGTGTCTTCTTTATATTTATTTCTCTCTAGCAAGGCTGTGTCGACTACCCTCCAAAATGCCTGTAATGGTGCTTCTATTCGGCTTCCTGCTATACCCAGTAGCTGCCCTCCCAGCTGAATCCCAGCCTCCCTTCCCTCCTTCCTCCCTGGAGTCCCAGCCGTCCATTCTCAGCCCCCTTTCCTGTTACAACCTGATGCCTGAGTCTCTTCCCGATTTCAACAGCCTAGACCCTCTGCCTAGGTACCTGATTAGTCTGCCATTGTACATAAGCTTGGAGCAAGCTGGCTGTCCAACTGATGCCCATGCCCTTCGGCAGCAGCTCTATAGACTGGGTGGGGTGAAAGCCACAGAGAAACTCATCCAAAAGCTCCGAGGCCTACAAGAGGACAGAAGAGAAAGGAAGCCGGACTGGGTCCTGTTCTCCACCTGCAGCTCCTGGGCAGGAGAACAGAGAGGTCGGGAAGGGCCCCTCGTTCACTCTCCGAGGCAGATTGTGTCTATGAGAAGGAGCAACAAGTATACAATGTAATGCAGTTTCTGCCCCAAGTGGGAAGTTACTATAACCTTGGTACAGCTTTCTATTATGCTGCCCAGAATTGCACAGTTCAGGCCTGGGAGCGAGGACAGGAAGCAGCTGTGGACCTAGGCTATGATTTCCTTGTTGGGTTGATGGGGACAACTGCGGGCCCTGCAGGGCTAATGGCCGGTTTGGCACTTAAGCCAGTGGTCAAATCTGGAATTCAGAGACTGATAGAATATTATTACAGAAAGAAGGAGGGGTCAGGAAGCCCACCCCCAGGCACAGATCAAGGCTGGCAGAAGGACTGGAGAAACACTACTGAAATGGGCAGCAGCTGGGAGAAAGACCATAGGGTGACTCTAACAATGGGCAGTAGCAAACATATGGCTGATGAAGTGACAGAGGCCACCCCCCTGTGGAACTGGGAGTCATTCAAGATCTGGGGATAGTAGAGAAACCAGAGGCTACCTACTAGCTGGCATTGGAACTGGGAGAGGGGGCACGAAAGTGGTTTATAAGGAAGAGTCAGAGCTGTGGACTCCAATGGCATGTAAAGTGATGTTTATATCATCATGTGCAAGTGCTTAATAAATGCCGCTTAATTGTTCTTTGGATCTATGCCTGCGCTTAATAAATGATTACTGAATTAAACTGTATTGAATGGGATGGACTGAAGTTGTTCGTACCTTTTTGGAATCTGAATGCAAGTCTGGCAGTCTCCGCGAACGTCTAGGGTCACATTTGAACTCACGAACAATACTCTCTGATTCCAAACCGAGCCTCCTATCTACTGCGCTACCTTGAGGTGCCGCTTACCAACTAATCCCCTGATTGACTGACAGCCCCATAGTCTCACCCTTAGCTTAAAATCTCCTTTTCCCCTGTAGCTCCGCCTAAATTCCCGGAAATTTATCATTCTCCCTGCCTTCAATCTTCGACTTTTCATTGGGCTGTTCTTCTAGCGGAGCTCCCTCCCGCCGCGCAAAGTAGGCGGTGTTTAACCGGGCCTTCCGTCCAATTGCTGCAGGTGGGAGGCGGGGCTTTCCTCTCACGCCCCACCCTTTAGAGAGGGGCGGGGCTTGGCGTTTTGAGGAAGCCTTCGAAGAGCTCCCGGAGAGGCAGAGCTCCGCGCGCGCGGCCGGAGGGAGGGGTGTGCGGAGCCGGAATAGCCAGGCAGCGGGAGGAGCCTGGGACTGAGGGGGAGGGGCTTCCAGTGTTTGGGGTCGAGCAGGCTGACTGGAGAGCGACCCCCGCCAGGTAAGGAGGCTGGGGAGCCCCTTCGGAGGGAGAAGCGTGGGCCCCGGGCATGCGGACGTAGGTTCTCCGGAGCGGGCGGGCATCCAGGAGCCCTCGGAGCCCGAAATCCCACTTGCGAGCGCGGGGGACCCAGACTCACGATTTGGGTGCCTAACCCGACTACCCCCTCCCCACGACTCCCTCGAGTCTCTTCCCTGACCCCCATCCCATGCCCCTTTATATATTCTGATTTAAACACCCTCCCCAGGCCTTCCTCAATTTCCTCCCTCCCCGCCCCCACCCTTTTTTCCCTGTGATATTCCAGTCTTGGCGCCCTGTTCCCCTTCTTACCTAAAACTCACTAGGTGGTGGTGGAGGGCTGTTTTAAAAAATGCAGTATATAATTTATTAAAATAACATTTTAAGGAGGGAGTGGGGATGGAGGGCGGGGGCGGGGGCGGGAGTTGTTGCCGTTTAGAGCCAGACATCCACATGATCCATTCTGGGTATGACTTAATCTGCCACCTCTTGTCCTCACAGTAAATTAAACACAGCTGAAGAAGGTTGTGCCTCTTCTCTCCCCCCCCCCCCCAATATATGAGACTTAAAAGCAGATAATTTGTTCTCATTACTGATGCCTAAAGTCACAGAAGGAAGAAAGAGAGGTGGGTGAACATCCATCCCCAGCACTTTGCACATAGGAAATTCTCAACAAATATTTATAGGTATTCAGAGTGCAGGCTCAGCCTAAGCTACTGCCAGCAGTTAGCCAGAACAGGGGTTTTGACACATTCACTAACTCAGGCACCTAACCTATATCTCTGGGAATGCCTGAGAATGTACTGTCAACCTTATTCCATTACCTGGGTTGGATTCCACTCAGTTCAGTCTAGGATTTAACCTATAAAATCAGGGTCATTCAGTATTTTCACAAGTTTCTTGATGCACTCGTGTCCCCTTTCTCACTAAAATTCTTATCTCCTTTCTAACTTTTCATGAACCAAAAGGAAAGTACTTTCTAGAGCACAAGGGGGAAAATATGTACATTTGGGGCAGCTAGGTATCTCAGTGGTTAGAGCACCAGCCCTGAAGTCAGGAGGACCTGAGTTCAAATTTAACTTCAGACCAAACACTTGACACTAGCAGTGTGACCCTGGGCAAGTCACTTAACCCCAATTGCCTAAAAAACCCCATATATTTGTGTGTGTGTGTGTATATATATATATATGTATATATATATATATATATACACATTTATACATGTAAATATAATATATAATACAAACATATCTAAATAAACATGCATACACATATATGTACTTTATGTATTTGTATAGGTATTTCTATAGGAGATTTAAATATATACACAGTACATATATACGCATGTATACATGTATGCTTATATGTGTTTATGTATGTGCATAATGCACACCTATGCATGTGCATGCCATGTGTAAATGCATATGTGTATTTGTGTATTTACATATAAATATGTACGTGGGTGGGTGGATAGAAAGATGGACTTAAAACTCCTAAGATCTGAATATTTCTGGGCTCCTAGTCTTCTGACAGGTACTCTCACTGCACCTGACTGATCTTTTGGGTAAATCTATTCCTGTGTTCTACTTCCTCTTTGTCTTTACATCACATTAGTTTCCCTTCCCTTACCAATTGAAACTCCTCTTATGACCAAGATTAAGAAGAGTTCAGCAAAGCCAGTCAACACAGAAATTGTATAATATTCCAGCACCACAGTAGCCCACCTCTTCAATAAAGGGACAGGGCTCTATTTTCTCAGTTCTTTTCATAGGCCAAGTTTGATCATTATAATTACAAAGCATTCAGTTTTCTACATTGTCCTTTTATTTTTTAGGCATTGTGTATGTTGTCTTCGTGGTTCTGTGTGATGCAAAGATTGTTTTTCCCAAGCAACAGTTTCCCATCTTATTCTAGCTGCATTGTTTTCATTTATGCAAAAAGCTTTTCAATTTCATGTAATCAAAATTATGTTTCATCTTTTGTGATTGTCTCCTTAACTTGTTTAAGAATTTCCCCTGTGAAAGAGACTCCATCCTTTTTCCTCCAAATTTTGTTTTAACAATATAGTTTTTTATATTTTTCAAGTATGCAATTGTGATTCATTGTGGTATATAGATGCCAGACAGCTATGTGGTACAGTGGATAGAGTGCTGGGCCTGAAGTGAGGAAGACCCAAGTACAAATATGAATTCAAATACTAGCTGGATGACCCTAGCCCAGTCACTGAAACTTTTTCTAATCCTCAGTCTTAATCTGTAAAATGGGAATAATTATAGTATCTACCTTGTAGGTTTGTTGTGAGGTTAAAACAAGATTACGTATGTAAAATTCTTTGCTACGTTAAAGTACTAAATGCTAGCTATGATGATGTCCATGATGATGATGGTGATGATGATGATCCAAACCTATATTTTTGTCTAACTGCTTACCAGTTTTCCCAATTTGTTTTTGTTTTTTGTGAGGCAATTGGGGTTAAGTGACTTACCCAGAGTCACAGACCTAGAGTGAGTATTATGTGTCTGATGTAGGATTTGAACTCAGTCCTCCTGATTCCAGGGCTGGTGCTCTATCCACTGCACATTTTCAGTGTTTTTGTCAGATGGAGTGTTCTTCTTCAAAAAAGTTTATGTTTTCAATTCATTGAATACCAAGTTATTGAGTTTGATTGTCTCTGATTCTTGCTTCACTAGTCTTTTCCACTGATTTACTTTGCTATATTTTAACCAGCACCCAATAGTTTTTAATTGCTATTTTATAATACTTTGAAGTCTGGAAGTGCCATACTACCTTTAGTCTCCATTTTTTGTTATCTCCCTTGAAATTCCAGGCCTTTGCTCTGCCAAATGAGTTTGGTTATTATTTTGCCTAGCTCTTTAAAATATATCCTTGGTAGTTTGGTACAGGACAACAAATTTAGGTAGTAATATCATCATTTTTTATGATATTGGTCCAGCCCAACCATGGAAAAATGAGTAGCCCTCCAACGATTTTAGCTTTTCTTTAAAAAAAAAACGGATTGATATCTTTTGCATTTGTATAACTTTCATTTCTGAATTTATCTCTTTTACCCTTTACAATTAGCAGGCCATTCCTTGTAACAAAGAAAAAAGAAAGAAAGAGTGAGGAAAAAGTGTAGATCCCCCAAACTAACTAACACATCAGTGGGATTTGATTGTATGTATAGTGTTCCACCCTTATAACCTCTCGTCTCTGCAAAGACGGAGGGAAGAACATTTTTTCACGAGTAAAATGACAGTGTTGAACCAGATTATGATCCTTTATCTCTTTTAAAATCAAACTTGATCTTTATAATTAACTAGTGTTCAGTTCTGGTTTTCTCTTTGTTTTTCATTGACATTGTGGGAATCATTCCACTCATTTCATTTTTTATCAGTTCATATGCCTTCCTGTGCATCTTGTTTAATGTTAATTTTTTTCTTATTACACAGTAATTTTCCATTATATTAATTTACCACAATTTGCTTAACCATTCTGCAATTAAAGAGCATATATTTGTTTCCAATTCTTTGCCATCACAAAAAGTGTTACAATGAGTCTTTCGGCCTATGACATTCCTGTCTTTACCTCCTTGGGGTATACATCTAGCAGAGAGATGCCTGGGTTAAGGAATATGGTATTTGTTACTTTTTAAAAAACATAATTTCAAATTACTTTCTAGAATGGTTGGACTGATTCACAGCCCAACCTATTGTGTATTAGTGTGTCTGTCTTTCTCCAACCTCTCAAAAACATAGACTACTTTCATACTTTGTTTTCTTTGCCAATTTGCTGAGTGTGGCATAAAATCTCAGAATTTTTAGTTTTTATTTCTTTTATTATTAATGATTTGGAGCAATTTTTCATATGGTTGTTAATAGTTTGCATTTCTTTTAAGAACTGTTTGTCCATATCCTTTGGCCACTTGTCCAATGGGGAATAGTTGTTTTGGTTTATATATTTGTTAGTTTATATTTTGTAACTAATTATTTCCTTTGCATATTTAGTTTTGTGAGCATGTGATATGTATAGTAGGTTTTGATGATACTTTTTTTCTTCTGCATTTGAAATTTCACCTTGTTCATTTTTTATTTTCTTCTTTTGGGAGGAGTTGTTTTTAAGAATTTATTGATTTTAATCTTTTCAAAGAATTAGCTGTTAGCTTTGTTTCTCATTTCAGTAGCCTTTTCATTTTAATTTTACTTATTTCTCTAGTTTTAAAATTTTCTTTTGTCCTTTTTAAATTTATTTATTTTTTAATTTTTAAATTGCATACTCAATTGATTAACCTTTCTTTTTTATTTTGCTAATGTATGTTTTCAGATACTTTTTCCTCTGAGGACTATTTTAGCTGTATCCCAGAAATGTTGTTATGTTGTTTCATTGTTATTCTCTTTCACATAATTATTATTTCTAGTAATTATTCAGTAGTCAGAATGTAATTATTAAGTCTCCATTTGTGTCTCTATCTTTTGCTGTATTGGGTACTATTTGTATTATGTTATGTAAAAGATGTGTTCAGTATTTCTGCTTCTTTATATTTGTAATTTCTGTATGTCCTACCACATGGTCTGTTTTTCTAAAGGTCCCATGTGGTATTGAGAGCTGTGTATACATGTGTTTATTCTTTAATGTTACTGTTCTGAAGATGCTGGAAATTTTTTAGTTCTGTTTTTTCCAGAAGTTTGCTCAGTTTCACATTTTCCATTTTCTATCTTTTTCAATTAAATTCGTTTAGCTCAGAGAAAGGAAGTTTAAATTCTTCTATAATATGTAACTATCTAGGCCTTTTTGCAGTTTAGTTAACTTTTCCCTTGGGAATTTAGATGTATATTCACTATAATGCATTAAATGTTCATATTAGTTCATTGATTATGGTACCTTTAAGTGTATTGTTCTTTTTTTCTTTTTTTAATCACTTTTGACATTGTAAATTTTTATTTTTGCTTTATCTGATAACAGAATTGCAACATCTGCTTTTTTAA